TTCGGCTTGGTCGGCGCTGAAGCTTCAGGAGGGGGTCTCATGAAGCGGGTTTTGTTGGCACTGTTGTTTCATGAGGGGTCTCATGGAATCTCAATGGACTTGGCTGGCGCCGCTGCTTCTTGAAGGGCCTCATGGTGCGTACGTTCACATCCCAAGTTTGGCTTGGTCGCCGGTGTTGCTTCATGAGGTGTTTCATGGAGCGGGCATTCACATATCAACTTCCACTTGGTTGGCGCTGTTGCTTCATGAGGTGTTCCATGGAGCGTGCGTCGCATATCAAGCTTTACTTGTTTGTTGTGGTTGTTGTTCAAGTGGGGACTCATGGACCCAGCATCATAGTCCAAGCTCGGCGCTGTTTGTTCATGAGGGGTCTCCTGTGTTTTGCACAGTTGCTTCATGGGGTCTTGGAGTTTGGCCAGCGCTTTCATGGCTGATTTAATTTTGACTTGATGCGGTGCTTCATGAGGGGACTGATGGAGCGTGCGTCCGTTCAAGTTCCGCTGGATTGGGGTGCTGCTGCTTCATGAGTCTCATGAAGCGTGCATTACAACACCAAGTTTGGGTTGCTCTGCTGCCTCATGCGAAATCTCCTGGGGCTGCGTTCGTATAGCAGGTTTAACTTGGTTGGTGCTATTGCTTCATGAGGAGTTTCATGGAGCGTACGTTCACTTTTCCAGCTCAACTTGTTTGGCGCTGTTGCTTCATGAGGTGTTTCAGGGAGCGTGCGTTCACATATCCCGTTAACGACTTCCTTGACACTGTTGGTCACGTGGGGAGTCATGGACTGAGCGTCGTACTCCACGCTCGACTTGGTCGGCGGTCCCATATGTTGCGCAGTTGCTCCAGGGATTCTCTTGGAGCGTTAATTCCATGTGGCCAGCGCTCTTATTGCTCCATGAAGGGTTTTCATGGTTCATTTCTGATTTTGACTTGCTCGATTCGGTTGCTTCATGCTTCATGGGGCACGTGATTCGACTTGCTTGTTTGGTTGCTGATGAGGAAACTCACAGAGTGAGCGTCATAGTTCAAGTTTGCCTCATTCAAGAAACGGACGTTGCGAACATGGATGTATTGGGAATACATTCCGTCTAAAAGTAACTGGGCTGATGAAATTTCAAGGCTCGGTTGGTCCGATCCGTGGTGGCGAACCAACGGATTCACCCCTTTTTTCCCCGTTCTGTCTATGGCACCTACCGCTTCCAGCAGTGATTCGTGTCATGGAATTTCTCTAAGTGCGTTGGGTATCTTTTAAAGTGCATCGGAAGTGGTCTCCGGAGTGACCGGAGGTAGACCACTAGAGGTCTGATAGTGACAGGCCTGCTAGTGCAGGTAACCCAGGTAACCCAACGCAATTATCCTGCAGAGGATTGCAGGTTGACGATAACACCTGGCAAGTTGACTGTGCGAAAAAGA